ACGGTGGAATTTCTCTTGGATCTCACTTCTTGAGCATGAGCTCTTGGAGAAAAAACTTTATTTTCTGAAAGAAAGAGTTTTGCTTGGGGTGTATCTAATACCCAGGTATTCCAGATGAAGAGATGGTTGGAAAGCAGCTGTTTTTTTAATTGAACACCAATCCGAAAGCCTGCGCAGTTGACATGTGCTGTGAAATCTAAAATAGTCCAAGACTTGAATGTGTTCGGTTCTAAGAAGGGCCAGCAAAGGTTCACCTTTGAGAACACGCTTGGGGCAGAAGGGCAGTGCAACAAACTGTAATTGATTTTTCTGCCACTGGGGAGCAAAGAAAGTGCTGATGAGGTTGGCAAATGGGAACATGCAGATAGGCATCTTGGATATCCACTGATGCCAGGACTTCCCCTTATCTCAAAGAGCTTTATGGACAAATTATAGCAGGGCAACATGTAATTTCTTCCTTTCTACTGACCTTGTAGATTCCTTGTAGATTTTTAGAGTTTGAAGGAATCTATTGAAGGATTTATGGACACACAATAAAGTTTGAGGAGAAGAGGTTTAATCTTAAACTGTGTAAGGGGTTATTTACTGTTAGAGTGATAAAGATGGGGATGGGGAGTGTAGATAAATAAAAAAACCTTTTAGGTGTGTTTCTTAGCTAGCGTAATATACAGGGATATGGAAAATAGTAGTCACACACACACTCTCAGGTTGAAGTGGATGGACTGATGTCTTCATGCAACCTCACCAACTACGTATGTAATTATGAAACTACCTAAAAGAGCAATGAGCTTCTCAGTTTTAATAAGCATGTTGCATGAAGCTCCCTTTCAACATAATGGCAGTCTGTAGAAGAAAAATCTCCCACAGCTTCCTCGAATACTGTCTCAATATACCCCAGGACTCAGGTTGCAAAATGGGAGTAGAAGAAGAGTCGGGGCATTTCTAAACCCTGGACAAAGATGGCTTTATTAGGGCCATCATTTGTCAAAGGAATTGTGACATAGACGCAGATGCCCCCTTACATCACGGTCCCCAACAGAGTTCCCCTTTACATCAATTGTCACCATCCGAGGGCCCTTTACATATGATCATTGATCCCCATTATAGTGCTCCCTTACTTCAGGTGTCCTCATCACACTGCCCCCTTACATTGACTGTCCCTAAAAGTACTGTCCTACCTGGAGGGGGTATGACTAAATCTGGGGGGTGGGGCACAGCCCACCCCAGTACCCCCCTAGATCTGGCTCTGCTGTACTAGCCCATTATCAAATAAGTGGTAATCTGGTATGGAGGTGCCAAGCACCAGAGATGTTATAGGAAGGAGAGAGTAGAATAGAGAAGGAAAGCCGAAATAAAAAAAAAAAAAAGGAGGGGGGAGGAAGGGAGTGTGTGTCCTGGAAAGCCTTGAGGTAAGAAGCATCTCCAAACTCATCCAGCAAGTGTGGGAGTCAAATTAAGACAATATCATGGCAGGGAAAAAGAGAACGGGGGATATACCAATCAGTAGTTTATTTAAAAGGATCAGCAAGGGAGATTCCCCATCACGAGATGATAATGTCTGGTTGATTGAAAATGGAGCCAGCATGCCCAAGTAGATGTAAACTTGGTAGGGCAATCTTTTGCTATGCATATGAGTTCTCCCATTACTGCAATTTTGTTTAGCCGTCTTTACCATTCTAACCAAGAGGGGACTTGAGCTGTTCCCCAATGTGTAGGTATGCAAATTTTAGCTGCATTTACCATATGCATTGCAAGAGATTTAAAGTATGGCGCTGATGAAAGTGAGGTGTGATGAAGAAGATATTGATGAGAAAGTTATTTTAGCTATCTTGTCATGCACAACAGACCAGAATGATTGAAGATGTGGACATTCCCACCAAACATGCAAAAAGGTGCCTGTGGCTTGGCGGCAACACCAGCAATAATCGGGAACTGATGGGTCGAATTTATGTAGCAGAATAGGGGTTTGATACCATCTCGACATGATCTTATAATTATGTTCTTGAATTGCGACTTTTGCCGAGCCCTTATGTATGTTGCTATCAATGCGCTCCCAATCCTCTGCGGAAAACTCTTGTTGAAGATCTCGGATCCAAGCTTTGCATGCTTTCCCCTCATCAATAGGTTTTTTTGCCAAGAGAAGAGAATGAAGAGATTACATGTTGTTGAGGAGTAGGTTTGGAGCAGACTCTCAAAGGGAGTGAGAGGTTCTGACATTGCAGCAGACCTGTTAAGGGAGTGTAGGAAATGGCGAAGTTGTGCATAGGCCCGTGGTTCAGGCCTGCATCTGGTCTTTGAGCACAAAAAGGTATCCTAGTCAAGCAATTTGCCCTTATGGAAGAAATGGTGCGCACATACTTTTGAGCTCAGGGTCTGCACCTAATAGGAATGTGCGTGTCATCCCAGGTTGGAAGTCTGGGTTCATATGTCCATATATTGTTGACACCTTAAATTTTGAGCAGACTTCTTGGAAGCATGTCAATGTTGACTCAATAGGCGGGTGGTCCTGTAAGGAGGCTGGGATATGACCTTTCTAAATCCAGGGGATATTGCTTAAAGGCAATTCGGTTAATGCAGCTTCTAGTTTAACCCAATCTTTTGCTAAATGATGAACATTCCAATCTCTATGTGAGACATGTTACATGCCTAGTAGTAATGTTGTAAGTCCAGAAGTCTATTCCTCCTTGCAGTTTGGGGGCAGCTAGCTGTTCATAGCTAATTCTCGGATGGCCAAGGAGCTAAAGGAAGGAAGTACAAATTTTCTTTTATGAACGCAAGAAACTAGGAGGAAATTTGATCGGAACTGCTTGAAGTATGTATAAAAGTCTTTGAAGCACATTCATTTTGAGAATGGCCACCCTACCGAACCATGAAAAAAAGATGCTTATTCCATTTTTGGAGATTGTTCGTAATAGTACGCAATATAGGCAAGTAGTTTCTCGGATATAGTTCAGACAAGCACTTTGGTATTTGGATTCCCAAATAGGTGAGGGCTTCTGATTGCCATGGAAACGGAAAGTTCTGCCGGCATAGCATGACTTGTGATGGTGGAAGTGAGATATTCAGGGCATATAATGAGTATTATAAGGTTTTAAAAATTGTTCTTAATGGTGTTTAAAGTTATTTGTTTCATTGAATGGTAATGGAATATGATTCTCAACAGATTCACAGCTTTTTTTTTACTTCACTTCTTAATGAACAATATGTGTGGCACCCTTCCCCCCTCCCCTTTTCCACCACCATATCCTTCTTTTCCCCCGGGTTCACATATATGTAAATTGGTTGCATTTTGTACCGCATCAGATTTGCATGATATGTGAACCTGCAGCCTTTTCTATGGATCCGGTTCACATATGTGCAGGCTGGCCTCAGTGCAATTTCTAAAAGGGTCAGGAATGATTTTCAGCCCGGTTCATGTGCAAATTGCCATACACTTTAAAAATTCTCATTGGAATCACACCTGAACCAATGAACAAAGTTGCACTGGACGGGGCTGAAATCGCACTGTGAAAACTGGCCTGCACATATGTGAACCTAGGCTTACCCCTTTATATAACACTGAAACCCTTCAGCTATACACTTATCCTCTGCAAGATCCCTCCCTCATCCAACCTCACTAACTCTTCATAGGAAACTCCAGAAACCCCCCACCCCCAATTCTTCTTTACCCCACCCCCAATTCTTGTTTACCAAGCACTAAAACCTGGTCTTAGAGTTATCAGGGATAGTCACAGCCACCCACTGTGGAATCATGGATCGGCATTTGAACACACCTGCAGGGCAACTTTCCAGCGCAATAAAACGAGTCTCCCCCTTGCTGCAAGAGATGTAATTTTATAAATGTTACCTAGAGAGGGCAATATTCTCTTTGTAATCATACTACATCTATGCCTATTCTATATATTACATATACATTTCTGTGCATACACATACAGAGTCACTCCACATGTAAATGGTATGTACTAATTTTCTCCTTTTTTTTTTTTTTTTTGGGATGCTGGAAAAATCCAAATTAAAAACTATTATGGAAAAGAAAAATGTGTGGGCCTGATCAAAAAAGAACTCAACGGACCTACCTGTTAATTCAAATTAAAGTGATTTTAAAGGTTTATTTTTGTAAGAAAAAATAACATATCTATACTTACTTGCTGTGTGCAGTGGTTTTGCACAGAGCAGCCTGGATCTTTCTCTTCTTGGGTCCCCTGCAGGCTCTCTTGGCTCCTTTTTTCTGTCGGGTGCCCCCATAGCAAGCAGCTTGCTATGGAGGCACCTACTGCTCCATGTGGCCATTCACACACGGAGCTGTGGCTTGGCCCCACCCCCCTCTCTTATCATTGGCTCACTGGCTGTGATTGACAGCAGTAAGAGCCAATGACTCCCACTTCTGTCTCAGCCAGGGATAGCCAAGACTCCAGTGCACATTGCTGGATCAAGAGGGGGCTTAGGTGAGTATTAGGGGGGGCTGGGGGACCTGCTGCACACAGAAGGTTTTTTACCTTCATGCATAGAATGCATGAAAGTAAAAAACCTTGAGCCTTTACAACAACATTAACAAACATCAAACAACAAATGCAATGTGCATTGCTAGCATAAATCACAATATTAGGAGGAATATTTCAAACTACACAATAATGGTTAAGTGCAAGACAGAGATGTCACTGTACAAGACAAGCAAGTCCAGTGTTAATAAAAATAACTTGCCCCATTCTGATGTTTTGTCTTGATACAACTGCAAGCACTATTGATTTATTATGTTCAGTATCTTGTAAACAGAGGTGTGTGTTGGACCTGTGAATTAGTCATATGGAAATGAGGCACAGGCACTGCAGGGTTAAACTGCTGAGTCGTGACTGCTTGTAGCAGTAAAATTCTCTCCAAGGATAAATAATTAAAGCTTCAGGAAGAATAAGCACACAGGAAGCAGCAGAGATTGGATGTACGTAGGTGTTAAGGGCATTCATTTTTATCCAATCGCTGAATAAAGACTGCAATATTCATGCAATCTTGTTCATTCACTGATACGTGACCTGCAATACAATGGGAGTCTGCAGTGTTCAGTTCTGCATCACAGACAAGAAAGCTTTCCACATAGCACTGTATCAGAAATGGACATTCCTCTAGAAAGTGCGCTGCAGCCAGGGCTTACACCTTTAACACCCAAGGAGCACAGAAAAATATCATCACTGGCCTCTCAGCTCTCAAGGTACGGCAGCCGTGATTACTGTCCGACAGATATGTACATGTTTACTTTTAAAAAAAAAAAAGTGTTAGTAAATGTTTTTTTCAGTTACCCAATGCCCATGTCTCTAATTATGTATGTCACAAAGAATCATTAAACCTAAAACAAGAAAAAAAAAGTTAATCACTTACAAAACATAACAACTATGAAACAACTGTAAACTTACTTATGATAGCATTTGTATTTAAACACTTGGTTTCCAAGCCTATTCTGACACTTTTCACATAAAAGTATAAATCAGCTTATTTCTCTTTTTTTTGCTTGAAAATTGTTTAGAATCCCCAAACATTTTATTTACACACACACACACACACACGTTCAGGTTCAGATTCAGGTGTTCCAATCACCTCCATGGCCACAGGTGTATAACATCAAGCACCTAGGCATGTAGACTGCTTATACAAACATTTGTGAAAGAATGGGTCACTCTCAGGAGCTCAGTTAATTCACGTGGTACTGTGATAGGTAAGATGCAGTAAGTCCATCCGTGAAATTTCCTTGCTACTAAATATTCCACGGTCAACTGTCATTGGTATTATAACAAGCAAATGGGAACAACAGCAACTTATCCACGAAGTGGTATGCCACGTAAAATGACAGAGCGGGGTCAGCGCATGCATGCTGAAGTGCACAGGGCGCAAAAGTTGCCAACTGTCTGCAGAGTCAATAGCTAAAGATCTTCAAACTTTGTGTGGCCTCCAGATTAGCACAACAACATTGTGTAGAGGGCTTCATAGAATGGGTTTCCATGGCTGAGCAGCTGCATCCAAGCCTTACAACACCAAGTGCAATGCTAAGCATGGGATGCAGTGGTGTAAAGCACACCACCACTGGACTCTAGAGCAGTGGAGATGTGTTCTCTGGAGTCACAATTTGGCAGTTGCCAGGAGAACGGTACTTGTCTGACTGTACTGTGGCAAGTGTAAAGTTTGGTGGAGGGGGGATTATCATGTGTGGTTGAGATTGGCCCCTTAGTTCCAGTGAAGGGAACTCTTGAGGCATCAGCATACCAAGACATTTTGGACAATTTCATGCTCCCAACTTTGTGGGAACAGTTTGGGGATGGCCCCTTCCTGTTACAAAAGGACTGCGCACCAGTGCACAAAGCAAGGTCCATAAAGACATGGATGAGGAAGTTTGGGGTGGAGGAATTTGACTGGCCTGCACAGAGTCCTGACCTCAAGCCAATAGAAGACCTTTAGGATGAATTAGAGCAGAGACTGCGAGCCAGGATTTCTCGTCATTGCCTGACCTCACAAATGCGCATCTGAAAGAATGGTCAAACATTCCCATAGACACACTCCTAAACCTTGTGGACAGCCTTCCCAGAGGAGTTGAAAACATACACACTGCTCAATGCCAATAAAAACATTAAAGGAACATATATTTTTAAACAGAGTCAACAAACATTAAAGCATGAAACAAGCATCAAGTCAATTAATCTGTCAGATTGGATGGAGAGCAATTTTCTTGCCACAGATTCTCAGTTGGTTTAGGTCTGGACTTTGACTGAGCCATTCTAACACATGAATATGCTTTGATCTAAACCTTTCCATTTTAGCTCTGGCTGTATGTTTAGGGTCGTTGTCCTGCTGTAAGGTTAACCCCCCCCAGTTTCAAGTTTTTGCAGACTCTAACAGGTTTTCTTCTAAGATTGCCCTGTATTTGGCTTCATCCATCTTCCCATCAACTCTGACCAGCTTCCCTGTCCCTGCTGAAGAAAAGCATTCCCACAACATGATGCTGCCACCACCATGTTTCATGGTGGGGAAGGAGTGTTCAGGGTGATGTGCAGTGTTAGTTTACCGCCACACATAGCGTTTTGCTTTTAGGCCAAAAAGTTCAATTTTGGTCTCATCTGACCAGAGCACCTTCTTCCACATATTTGCGGTGTCCCCCACATGGCTTCTCGCAAACTGCAAACAGTACTTCTTATGGCTTTCTTTCAACAATGGCATTCTTCTTGACACTCTTCCATAAAGGACAGATTTGTGGAGTGCACAACTAATAGTTGTCCTGTGGGCAGATTTTCCCACCTGAGCTGTGAATCTCTGCAGCTCCTCCAGAGTTACCATGGGCCTCTTTGCTGCTTCTCTGATTAATGCTCTTCTTGCCTGGTTGCCTTGTCAGTTTAGGTGGACAGCCATGTGTTGGTAGGTTTGCAGTTGTGCCATTTTCAGATGATGGATTGAACAGTGCTTCATGAGATGTTCAAATCTTGGGATCTTTTTTATAACCTAACCCTGCTTTAAACTTCTCCAAAGCTTTATCCCTGACCTGTCTGGTGTTCCTTGGCCTTCATGATGCTGTTTGTTCAATAATGTTTTCGAACAAACCTCTGAGGGCTTCACAGAACAGCTGTATTTATACTGAGATTAAATTACACACAGGTGGACTCTAATTACTAATGAGGTGACTTCTGAAGGCAATTGATTACACTAGATTTTAGTTAGGGGTATCAGAGTAAAGGGGGCTGAATACAAATGCACGCTACACTTTTCAGATATTTATTTATAAAACATTTTGAAAATCATTTATCATTTTCCTTCCACTTCACTATTATGTGCCACTTTGTGTTGGTCTATCACATAAAATCCCAATAAATACTCAGCTGGGTAGAGCTATGGAGTGGGACTTGAAAGGAGAGACTGGTATGCTATAAAAGGACCCTTGTTAATCTCAGCTGACAGAGCTGGATGCTTCACCTTGTGAACTTCAGTTTGACTAGAGCAGAATGCTGCAGATATTGTATGAAGGGAAATGAATCCCAACACTATTGTACGCCAAACACTGTTGTGCTCCTAAGGTGATAGAGACTGTTTAAGGGAAGATGGCTGCTTTAAAGTGCTGCATATGCTTTCACATGTGACTGCTGTGGACCTTCTTCTGAATGTGATTGGCAATATATTTTCAAGTGACTTGGGAATGTATGCCAGTGTGGTGTGACTGTAACCTTATTTGTGGACATTCCTTCCTTTGGGGGATATAGTTCAATGGCTGGTAATGTTGTGTGGAGGCCTCGGGCAAGGAGTGGGGCACAATATGGCGGAGGGTTGGTGTTCTAGAAAGGACAGGATGGGGCAGGGACTTGTGTTCTTGGAACCAACTTCTAGCCAATCGCAGAGCCCCTCTCGCATCTAAGGATTTATGACAGATAAATATGTTATTTCTAATCTCCCAGAAATGTAATCTCCTCTTGAGAATGCCTTCATCTGCTTTTCTCTCCAAAAGTGTAGTGCCACCTTTGTTCAGAAACTATCCATTTCCAGTATCTATTTGCTTGACTGACATGCTGGCTTAGAGACGACACAATCGTGTATATCCCAGTGCCTGTACAGTTCTTGGCTGTGTTCACAAATGTCTGACACAGCTGTTGGTCCATCTGTTCCAAAAAAATATGGCCAATGGGAACACAGATAGATTAAAAAAAAAAGAAACTTTGATAGAAATTGTAACTCTATAGTCTGCGTCCAGGGGCAATCACTCGCAGGTGATCGCTGCACAGCAATTACATGCAAGTGGTCGCAATTAGCTGCAGAATCAGGTAGCCTTCCACTGCTTTCAATATATGCACCAATATGATGTGCAATAGATGAAAACATTTCCTTTATTTTAAATGTGTTTTGTATACTTTTGTATACTAAACATCTGTCTGTTTTCAGCTTGATTAGGATATGATCTTATGTTTACCAAAAGTGACACACTCCTGATTGCTGTACCCTCTCTATGGCATAAACACACACACTGGGCTTGATGCTCTTAACATGCTTCGTGGAACTACCTAATCTGAGGAGCAAAAAAAAAGGTATTTCAACAAAATTCTAAGGCAGCCCATAGATAGAGGGTTGAATGAAAAATCAGGAGTGTTTAACTGATGTGAATGGGAGAATCCTCCCCACTGAGCTAATGCAGTTTTTTTTTTTCCATATATTGTATGCTGACAGGGAAGGAGACTTCCCTGCCATCAGAATACACAGATCTGTGTTGCAGGCTAAAAACTGTAGTCTTGACTGAGTGGGGAAAATCCAACAGGTTGGTTGCACAGAACTTGATCGGTAGATTGACTTCTGCATAACCATCCTGTCCATACATGGATTGGAATTTGACTAGTCCCTGAAGTCCAAGTTTTGCCAGCTTAATTCAACTCCAGCTACTTTTTTTTTGGACTGTTACATTTAGAATCTAATAAAGTAATAGAAAAGAAAGTTAACTATCTGAGAAACCTTTTATTTTAACCCACCGGCGCCGGCGCCTCACGGCACTTTAAGGCTTTCAGAAGCTGTGAGGCAGGGTGGGGTTTTAGGGTCATGTGACTGCCGTGATTCACCGTCACGGCAGTCACATGATCAGGAAAAGTCCCGATCGAAAGAGGAGATCGGGACCTTTCCGTGAGTACCGGACATGTGTGCTGGGAGCGCGCAGGGTGTGCTCTCAGCACATATGTTATCTTAATTGCACAGAAATGTGCGGGCCGCTCGGCATCTAGGCCCAGACGCCGGGAGGCCGCACATTTGTGTGCAGCCAGCTTGAAGAGGTAATAAATATAATTTCCCAACAGCTAAAATGGATACAGAGAAACAATCTAATTCTGGCTTCCATTAAAACATTCAGAATTGAGGAAAGAGATCAGATACTAATTTTACAATTATGCATTAAGACTGTAACAGTGAACATAATTATCATAGAACAAACACACCCCTGGGGCTCTTTAAAGAAACAAAAAGTAATGGAACGCCCTAAACCTCTGGGGAGGTAATTATCCACTGTTAGCTAATCACTGGAATTACCTGATTTTCAGATGTTATTGGGGGAAAGAAAAAAAGATGTTCTTCCATTTTTACTTCTTGAAACAAGCAGATTTACTGCTTTTTTTTATTCTATTAGCATAAGTATTACTTGAATACCTGTAAATTATGTGTGATGTTGCTCTCAATAGTTAGGTATTTAACACTTTAGGTTACTAA